CACGGGGCCCGCGGGCTCCCATGGCTTCTGCTCCCCCCCAGAGCTGGTGTACGAGGATGTCTTCACTGTCTGGGAGACGATCTGGGCGGCGGCGCAGGTCTCCTCCTCTTGCTACGTCCTCTTCATCGCCCTCGCCTTGGTGGAGGTGTATCGGGACATCATCCTGGAGAACAACATGGACTTCACAGACATCATCAAGTTTTTCAACGGTACGGGCCTTGCTGGCTGCGGAGCCCTGCGGAGGATGCCTTCTAGCGTCCCCAGGGGTCCCCGGGCACTCCGCCTCTCAGGCCCCGCTGCAGAGGCTTCCCTGCTTGGGGTCCACTCTTGGCGGAGGGCCCCTGCTCACCAGGAGACCTGCTACCTGTCAGCAGAGAGGCGTCCCCATTTCGCTAAGTGAGATCTGGCAGAAACTGCCTGCTTTCATCTACCGCAAAAGCTGGTGCAACATAAGGGGCCGCAGGGCGAGCAGCAGGGCCTGACTCAAATCGCACCCTAGGCTGAGAGTCAGGTGTGGCACCCGCACGCGGGCTTGCATTACCCTTGGCAGGCCGGGTGAAATGCAGCTCTGCCCACAAAGAAGGGCCGCTGAGTCGCGTTGCACGGTTTTGTCTATGGCTAACTGCCAGACCCAGGCCATTCAGAGTGAGCAGCAGTGCTGGTCGAAAACCGGGGGATTTGAGGGAGGGAAGGGGGCTTTCTTGAGGTGGGTGCCGAGGGGCTTCCTGGCCTGACCAGGGAAGGGAGAGAGTGGGGCGTCACTGAAGCTGGCACAGCCAGGCAGCTGAGCTCGGGTGCTGGCAAGGAACAGTCTGGGGTAGTGTACCTGCTGGGGAAGGCCCCCCCATTGCCTCAAAGCCGCTTTCATTGGGAGGAGTGCTTGTGTGTGCTTGCTGGCTGAAGCATTTCCCAAGCAAGCCACTGGCACTTCAAGCTGGCAGCCAGTCCTTCCCCTCCCTGGCTCTGGGCCGCCCGCGTCCTGACTTGCCCACAGGCGGGAGAGAAGCTCTGCCTGCCTTCTCTTCAGAACTTGCTCCCTACCCTTTTCCTCCCACTTCCACTTTTCAGAAATGGCTGAGCGCCACAACACCAAGCAGATCCTGCAGCTGGCACGGGAACTCGTGTCCAAAGTCCAGACGCTCATTGAGAACAAGTGATTTGGGAAGCCCCCTGCCCTCCGAGGAGGAAGACCACCCTCGCCCGCCTGCGCTTGGAGGCTGATGGCCACGGGGACAGGATGCAAAGGGTCCAGGGAGAGTCTTCCCTGGGGTCTGCCCCCCCAGAAAGGCAGCAGACAGCCTGGCCTTGCCAGTCCACCTGGGAGCCGATCCTCGCAATGAACCAAAGAACTCAACCCTTCTGTCTCCCTTCTTGGTCAGATGGGGGGGCATTTGACCTGGCACAAACCTTGTTTTGAAGGGGGAGACGGGAGCCTTGGAAAAGATGGCAGGAACCGACTGGTCCTGTTTTCCTCTCCCTTCAGATTTTCTTGCCACGCATGTGGGTTGGGGGCGTGTTTTTCTTTTTGCCGAAGCAAGGGACTTTCCCCCGGTCCTGCCCCACCCCCAGCGGAGGACCCCGGGCTGACGGCAGGCTCTCGCCCAGGCAGAGGTCCTGAATCTTGGAGCCTGGAGAGTCCTTGGCCCCAGGCAGCCCTTCTCTGCCTTCGGGACCGGGCTGCTGTTTGGGGCCACCTCTGCCCTAGAGCTTTTCCCTGCACCTTTTTGGGGGTGCCCCCAGTGTGCCAAACTCCCGCTGTCAGGTTGACTGATGGGCGTGCTCTGCTTTCATGAAGATGGACTGGGCTACCCAGTGCTGTTCTGGCCGACTCCTGAGCGTCTTCCTTCGGCAGGAGGGCAGCTTGGGGGCTCAGTGCCTCTCGCTTGTCCCCTGCTCCTAGCGGAGGCCTCAAGCACGGGGGAGAAGCGTTTCTCCAGCCAGTCTGTGGCTGCCGCGGGGTCGTGTCCCTCAGCGCCCCCCACCAATTCTTCTTCAACATCACCTTTCCGGGCAGCCTCTCCATCGCCCTTTGAAGTAAGACCCTGCTTATTCCAAGGCGGAGGCAGCAGCCCACCGAGCCGCGCTGGCTGGAGCCTCTGCGATGTCTTCCTGCCGGCCCCAGAGTCACCCGTGGGCTGGGGCCTTGGCTCCTGGGGGGCAGGGTGACGTGTGGATGGTTTGGGTTTTTTTAAACTCAGGTGTTTTTAAAGAGAGGTAGGAGGAGCAAAATGGGGCTTTGTTGCCTGATCAAAACCTGCCAGAAAAAGCAACCGTTTGGGTTAAGCAAGGACCTACATTTTTGCTGTGAAAATGGCTTCCTGCAAGCCAGAAAATGCTCAGCCATAGGTACCCCCCCCCTTCCTTCAGAAGGACCAGCCTCCTAAACAAAGCTGCAGTTCTGTGTTAGCTTCTTATCTTCCCATTCCATTTCAGGGAGGGAGAAATAACAAAGAGCAACTCTTAAGAGCTTCTGCCCTTCTCTGTCAGCTTGTGTGTTTGTGCGCTTTTGGATACATGTTTGTCATTGTCTGTTGAACCGAAGCGGGACATTCTGGCCTTAATGGTGACATCCTCACAAAACATTTGCTGGACTTCAAAGGGAGTGAGGGTGGGCAGGTCTACAATTATAGTTAATCTCTAGCTGCCATTTCTGCGATCACTTCAAACATTTAACTGGCTTCCTTCTGCAAACCCCAGGGAATTTTAGTTCAGGAAATGGAAGTGGCTCTTCTTGATGACTCCCAAATTGTATGCTCCAGGGAGGAACTATACTTCAGTCAGTTGCACAAAAGTTCTCCTAGGTCAACATCTTTTGGTTAAGGATGGAGATGATGGTGATGGGGCAGGAGGTGGTGTCTCTTGCCAAATTAGGCTCTGTTTGGACTCCCACAAACTTTCTCAGCAAAACACTTGATGTTTCTTGTGGCCCTTAGATCAGCAAGACCATCAGTAGAAGGTGGAAGGGCAGCCTGGGTGCAGTTATTGGTGAAAACACGAGAAAATCTGTGCAGGCTATGTGGTCCATTCTTGGCCATCTTTTGCCCTTTGATTCTCCTCGCCCCACTTGCACAACAAAGGGAGCATTCAGAAACCAAGATTTCCGGATTTGAAACCAATGCATCTTTTAAAATTCATTCTCTCTGGGGGTTTTTATGGGATATGGGTGGACAAACTGGGATTTTAAAGAATCAGTTGGAGTCCCAAAAGATACACGTGTGTGTGTGTGTAAATGTGCATTTTAATTGTGCTGGGCTATCTAACTTTGGATATTGCTGCAGTGATCCTTCTTTCTTAAAAGCACAATTCTGAGTGAGTGATCTGTTCCCGAAAGCTTAAATCTTGTCGTTCTTGAACAAGAGAAGCCAGCCAGAAGCGAGGTCCCTTTTGTAGAGGAGGAGGCTGCTTGGGGTGGCACCCTCTGGCCAACGGGGATGAGGTTTTTTTAGGCTGGACGTGATGCCAAAGTAGAGACCAGCAGTGAATCTTGGGTGCCCCCCCAATCCCTAGGGCAGCACAGTTCCTAGCATGGGGTTAGCACAGGGCTTTTTCCCACACCTGACTTCTGGGCACCTGGGTGCGTCCGCAGAATGCTCAGGTCAGTTGAGAAGTTCCTGGAGAGGACTTGCCACACCGCGTAGCCAACGCATCCTTTGGAATGGCTCTTCGGTAGTCCCATAGTCTCTCCCTCACAGTTTCTGTCATTTCAAAAGCCAGCTGAGGTGCCCGGTCCTTGCTGCCACCGCGCCTATTACAGCCGTTTGAGAACGGGACCCATGTAGGGAAACGGTTATAAATGCAAGGGAGACATTATTTATATGTGTTTATTAATTCTGTGCATCCCAAAGTCTGTGTGCATGAAGCCTTATGCAAGCAGAGGTGTATTTTTTTGTCACAGTCTCAAAATGTATCTTGTAAACATTTTAGCAGGAAATTGTCTTATGTATAGCTATATATTATACAGATAACCAGGTCATGCATATGTATGTGTGTGCACGTGAGAGGGTGTGTACACACATATGCATGCACACACACATATACACGCATAAACAAGATGTCTGTGGATTAAGCAGGGCGCTGCAAGGGCTTCGCCGCTAAGAGCTTTGTGCGATCTGGAGCACGTCCCTCCCTCTCATGTACCTTGGGCGTAAGTGAAATGGCCATTTTCCTGCTTTGCTTCAGGGTCTGCAGAAGAAAGGGATTTGAGGAAAGCTTCCCCCACTTATACCATTGCTGTTTATTCCTATATGAAGAGATGTGCTGCTTCCTGTAAAATACCCTGGAACAATTTACAAGTTACGCACCTTTTGCCCCAGCATCCTTGTTACCGGGAGGCCATTTCCAGGTTCTCAGCAGCCTTTTTGCCCTGAGAGAAGGGACCTTCTGCTAGGTCAGCCCTGCTGTTCAGCAGAGGGAGGCAGCCGCTCCCTTTCCTGGATTGGCCTGAACGAGCAGCAGATTTAATGTGCTGTTGTATGTTTGCTCCCGGGGAGAAGCACGGGCCGGCTTCTTCGGCATCATCTGGGCTTGGGGGCTGCGGGCCTGACTTGGAGGGCAGGGAGAAGTGCTTTTGCCTTAAAATAAAGCTCGCCTAATTTACAACTTGTAGGGCTGGTGGGCAGGACTGGAGACTCCTGGGGGGCAACAACCAGGAAGGCGAGACGGTTGTGGGCACGCGCAGCTGCACCTGTTTAACAGAGAGGCCAGCAAGTCTCCAGCGACCCGTTTCAGTTTCAGCCTGGCTTGCTGCTGCGTTCTTGGTGAACGCACATTTGGGCGGCGGGGTTAGCCGTTGGGGCGCCCACGACCGTGCGGCGACGCGCGTCTGGCGCCCTTCGCGCGCTCGGGGTTTAGCCGAGGCCCCGGAGCGAGCCAGCTTCCGAGGCAGGGGAGGCTGGCTGGCTGGGCCTTTTCAAGACGCGCCCGGCTGCTTTGCCCCCGGAGAGCCGCACTAGCCTCCC